TCCATCACCCAGGAATACAAACGACTGCTATGTGGCGTACTGGAGACACGTGTCTATTCACGGTCAGGTAATGAGTTAAGTCTGTGTATAACTCACGGAAGGCATTAAGCCCTACTTTGTGAACCCTACTGCTGCCAAATATTGAGGCAGTTGATGTCGAGTAGGTTACCGCAAGGCAAAGGCACATTGCAGGAAAATATAGCTTGTGTAATCACTGGTCTGAGTACTCGCTGAAACCAGGCAGTGGCATGATTCGTTGGTCAAATATAGCGACTACACTGCAACATGGCCTTAGTAATCACCAGTGATGGAGGAACGTAGTGTCTACAAACCCGTGAAGTATTGACAATGTATCAATTTGAACAGGATATGACAATTCATATTGTGGAAATTGGAAATTTTACATTAAATTGTATATTCATATACTTATCTTATCTCCCAATATGCATTTATCCAAGGTTGGATAGTGGAGCACAGATACCCTAGCTTGTATGAGACTACATCTGTGAGATGGACACTCAGAAGCTGGTGATAAACAATGCTTCAACCACAAGATTGTTACAGTGTTTAGTGTCAAAGAGACAAGAACTTGTGAGTGCGAAAAACACTATAAACGAGTGATAGAAAAACTTTTACAATACTAGGACATAACATCATGATATCGGGTATAACGTGTTATGTGTCTTCACGTAGGACATCGTTTCCAGAACGACTGTGTAGCTTTGAAGTAGGGAGGCTATTCAACCACGTCTTATAACCAATCAGGAAGGGGTCTCAAGTCAATTAGCTCTACAAGATAGACCACCACATATACAGGTGAAGGCTCGAAGAATCGGGGAGCGGAGCCAAACGGAGACTATGGTACGGGAGACTTCCGTTTAGTCCATGTGGATCCGTGGATGCGTTGTAGCATCGCAGAGGTCTTGAGGTAAATGTAGAGCGCGCTAACTGGACATAAGGAGATATCTTCAAGGTTAAAGATCGATGCCAGAGAAGGGATGGTGAGCAGCCGATCTGGTTTTCCCAGAAGTTGATCCTTCGCTATAAAGTCCCAGTGAAGTCCCAGTGAAGTCCCAGTGAAGTCCCAGGTTGACCTCCCTCCCAGTGGCGCTGCCTCTCAAACTGGAATCTGGTGAAGAGCATTGATTCAACGACTAAAGGAAGTGCGTATCTGTGAATGGCTTCATGTGAAGTCATTTAAATACTACTGTAAATGCACTCCGCAGCTCACATGAGGTCAGTCTGCTCAAATTCCAGCATATCCGTCTTGTTTACAAAAAATAGATATCTTGACACGTGATATGTAAATCACCCTTGCGCAGGAACAGGAAATAGACGTGGTCAAGCTCCATACACATAAAAACCTAGCACATAACAATCCAGTGTGAACTGTATGGTATGGGATATGGGACATGGGATGTAGGATGTAGGATGTAGGATGGAACCGGTGCAGTAGCAAGTTGAGCTCCATCTTTATCATGCTTGAATAAATCTTCATACGTCAAATCTCTGCCGATCATACAGGTGAAAGGTCGACAAATTCTCCCACCAAATCTTCCTGTCTGATTGGTGTAGGTTGAATGATACCCCAGAGAGGGCGATAGTACTCTCGTAGAAATATGTGGACTAAGTGTGATGAATGAATGTAAGAAATGTAATCTAAGAGCGGGAGATATGATCTGTACCAAAACTTGAGTATCAGACTGAGCGAACGTGATGATAGAGGCCAGTGCAATGTAGACCATCAAGAATCTTGATATCAATCCTTGGGTTGATGGCAATCTGTCTGACGATTCATACCTGAATAGGGAGTGCACATGCTTTCCGGACTCTGCCTACTGAAGAAAGTGAAGGGAAACATAACATAACTTCTTACTCGCCGGTGAGTGTCCCCAAGAGTCCTGGGGAGGAACTATTCTCATCCTCACATTGTTCATCCCTATTATCTCTATTCGTCCTCCAAGAGATGCTTACACCGTGAGCATCTGGGAGACAACAAGCACTGGTCAGAGCAAAGGGAGAGAGGATATCATAGCGATTCAAACTCTGTGGATGATAAGATCCCAAGATGCTGGCAGGGGTAGACTACTTGGCAGATCCCTCTTAGTATGCATCCACGAGGTGGGGTCGTTGAGTACAATCAGGAGACGGAGTATACGATGGTGATCTGCTGCAGTAGTGTTGATCAAAACTGAGTTTCTGGCATTTGCATTTATAATTACGAAACGCTTCCTCGGGCAAATGGGAACATTGTGGACAAGCAGCGAGCCAGTTTACAATGACAGTGGCAATCACAACCAAGATTGTGTATTGGCTGATGAATAAGTACGTCTGCAAGTCTTACAGCCCGGGGAATAATTCGCCGTAGATGTTGATAAGATGTAAGGTAAACACTTTAAACAAAATCAATTCTCTATTACTCAAAACATGTTGGCAGTGAGAAAGAGAATGATGTGGCAGGTTAGGTCAGGTGATCAGGTTGTGCAAGGTTGCTCTGCACGGGATTACAGTGTATGACCCATTTGTTTACGTGGTGACCATGGTGCTGCTGAAATGTGTTCGGCGGTAATATTTCTTGAAGCTGGAAACTTTGTTCCTGGTCGTTTCCACACCAAGATTGAAAGTAGAAGAGAAATGCATAGTGCGAGATAGGATAAGTTAAAAAATTTAATATGCTTCTCAGATGTACCGTATTCACCGTCTTAAACACTCTGCATCCATACCTGACCAACGCTGTAAGCGCCCCCTACTAAGACTGAAACTTAACAGTCCATATTATCTTGTGTATATTTCAAATTTTGCCCAAAATACAGCAGCATAGATTCATAATTGCCTTGCCTTTGTAATATCGAAAAGTTTTTGTTCAATCAACATTTCAACTAAACTTGTTCCCTACTGTTCTCTAAAAACACATTTTTAAAAATTGTTCCCAGGGCTCTTATTACAGAGAACACGGTTTCATACTTGTTTCATAGACATGCTTTACTCCCAGTGTTGGACTTGAGTCCTCATTGTGACCTACCTGCAGTTTTTGTGGCGTGTTAACGGAACTTTCCATGAACAGTTTTATTGTAACAAACAAATTGCTTAGGTAAACATTGTCATTTTAAAGATATATTTATACATATTGTAACACTGTCACATTATATTGACATTGAATGCCTGTGTATATCAATGTCAATTAATTGAGAAAATCAGTTTTGTACCATTGATTATGATGGACTAATAGATTCTTGTTGTTGTATTGACCTAATGTCATTTCTAAAATATTACCACATCACTGTAGCTAAACTACATACACGTATATGAATTGTTTGATAGGCATTACTTAGGAGTTGACGGATGACAAAGTAGACACAATCTATGGATCTGTAACGAAACGTCGCTTTTCACAGTATTAAAGAAGTTGTTATCCATAAATTGTGTCTACTTTTACATGTTTATGGTATTCCAGTCTTGTTGCCATGGTGAAACATACATACACTTTTATAAGTGTAGGTTCATACTCAATTATCCAGTGTATTAAATCTTGTCACCACATCTGTGTTTTGAGTCAAGTTGAAAATTGAAACCCAGGTGAAACAACCAGCACTTGATCCAACTGTTGTGTGCAGTCTCAAACGAAACCCAAATGTCTTGTGTGTTTGTTTGCTGTTTAACGCCACAATTCAGCAGTATTCCAGTTATATCATCGGGGCCTGCAAACAATTGCGTCTGGACCAGACAATCCAGACAATTCACAGTGTGAACAAGAATCCACATCTTCGGGGGATGACAAGCCTGAACCAAGTCTCTGTGTCAGACCATCCAATCCATTAAGTCACCTCTTATGACTGTCATAGTTGCTGGGGACCTATCAAACCCGGAATCCCCATGGGGGTCTGACTGTCGTACGGTAAGCATGAACAGATAGGGGCTTCCGTGTCATTTCGTACCCGAGTAATTTTGTATCCCAGTAAGTCTCAGTTTCATTACCCTGATTGCTTATATTGTATCATATATATAGTTGTGCTTACATAGTATCATATATATAGTTGTGCTTAAAAAGTATCATATACATATATAGTTGTGCTTATATATATAGTATCATATATATAGTTGTGTTTATATAGTATCATATATATAGTTGTGCTTATATAGTATCATTTACTAGTATATAGTTGTGCTTATATAGTATCATCTATATAGTTGTGCTTATATAGGATCATATACTAGTATATAGTTGTGCTTATATAGTATCATATATATATAGTTGTGCTTATATGGTATCATATATATAGTTTTGCTTATATAGTATCATATATATAGTGCTTATATAGTATCATATACTGGTATATAGTTGTGCTTATATAGTATCATATACTAGTATATAGCTGTGCTTATATAATATCATATATAGTTATGCTTAACAATTTTGCAGATACACTTACATTTCATGAAATTATTAAGATTGGAGCCAAGTTCAGTGATGCTGTACTGCTCGTATGTTTTTTAGTATGTGCACCAGTCGGTATGCTACTACAACTGTGACTATAGTCAACACCTATTGTCATGGTCCTAGCATACATTCCGGTCCTTGCAAAAAGCCTTCTACAACCCGGTTACAAGATGACACAAGGGATACAAAACTACTGGGTCACAAAGCTACCGGGATACAAAATGTTTGTTTGTTGTTTAATGCCGCACTCAGCAATATTCCAGCTATGTGACGGCATTCATTAAATAATCGAGTCTAGGTCAGACAATCCAGTGACTGACATGAGCATCGATCCACGCAACTAGGCCAACGAGCCTGACCACCGATTCCGTTAGCTGCTTCCTACGACAAGCATAGTCTCTTATAACGACAAGCATGGGTTGCTGGAGGCCTATTCTACCCCGAAACTTCGCGGGTCGGATACGAATTGACCTAGTATAGTACTGTTATACTATTGCAGCAAGTAGAAATTAATGTCCCCCTCAGTTGACCTGCTAAGGTCCGGATGTTGCTACCTTCTCACCTGAAGACATGCTCCCTGTGCCGCCTCCGCCAGAATGCTACGTCCCAGGGATGGATGACATCATGGAAGCCCTCAGATGCTGCAAAGTCTTGCAGTTCTTGCATCTCCTCAGCCGCCTTGCCCTTAAAGCTGCCCTTGAATCTGACATAGTGTAAAAGTGACCATTGATAGTTTTGTTCATTTTACCCTGCACTCAGCAATATTGCAGCTGTATAACTTTGGTTTGTAAACAATCAAGTCTAAACCAGACAATCCAGTGATTGACATCATGAGCATCAATTCACACAAATGGGATACTATGACATGCATTAAAGTCAGCGAGCCTGACCACCTGATCTGAGGTTTCTAGGTACCCATCTTGCAGATACCTTGGACATACCAAGATGCTCATGAATAATGGTTACAACAGTTCCAACTGATATTTGGAATTACCTAGAAAGTTCAGACACTATCACTCATCGGTCAGACAAAATTCTTCTTTCTATAGCAGCAATGGTTTCCAGTTGGGTGGCATCTGAAGGCTTGCCTGACCTTGGGTCATTGTCTATGCTGAGAATCCATGATTGTGATCACCCTTAGGTGAATGAAGCCATCACATCTAACTTATTGTTATGTCTGGAACTTGTTATGACACGTGTCAACCTGATGTTATGACTAGTGTCACACCTGCCACAGTTGACACTGTTTGTGTAAACCCAAATGCCCAAGTTGCAAAACTTATTGAACGCCCCTCGTAAGTTGGTTCATACAAGTGTGTTGGGTTTAACGCCGATTTGAACAGTGTTCCAGTTATATCACAGTGAATCAGCTTAATATTGGAGAAAAACCCAAAGTGTTGCAGGTCTTAGATATGTAGCACTTTAGTGAAACCCACAAGCACGGGTATGGTGGTGAAACAAAAGCGGGGTAATCAAAGATTCAAACCGATGATCATAGGTTTCTTGCATGCCCAAGGGATGCAAAACTGAACAGTAAATTAACGGCTAGGCCACCTGTGCCCCCTCTTACAACAAGCATGGCAAACTGGGGACCTAGTGATCTTTGTTGCCTTCAAATCTTAATTTGGTAGTCAGGTTTACTTCTGCAATATCTTTTGTATTTTTTCTCTTTAATAATTGGATCGGGTCTCACGCAAGAAACCAAGAGTCTTGTCAATTTGAACACAGGAATAATATCGTGTATTGATGAATGTTTAATGTTGATACTGTATGAATATCGATACTAAATTAACAATTCACTGCCACAGAATGTTTACATTTGATAAGATGGATTAAAAGAAGGCCGACAATTAAATATAAAGTCTTCATGGGTCAGCCTAGTTCACATTTAGCATGAGGTTGATTAACTGCAGCTCTAGATAGAACTGTTTTTACCTGTACACAAACAGAATAACTAATTTTGTTATCAATCAATAAAGTGATATATTTTAACACATCCCATACATTAGGCAGAACTTACGTTTCAATCATGTTAACCACGTTCTCCACCGACCCGGCCATAGTATTTGCCAGTGTCATCTCTGCGTAAGTCTTGAAGCCGCGCAGCTTGGCATAGTCTCCGCTGTAAACAACACACACCGCAACTGAAGGCTCACTTCTGTCTCCACAACAAATAGTGTATCCCACAACTTCATGACTATGTTTTGATGGATAAAGTATTCGACGTAATAAGCGCCCAGGGTGCTCTTAAAATTAGAAATAGGGGGCTTTTATTAGAATAAAATTAAAAGATCGTAAATTTCATGGTTTATGCTGATTGCCTGAATGATACAAAAGAAAAGTCTGTGCATATTTTACACGACAAACATATTTTTCCAGAATTTAAATTCCCCGTAATTAAGGGTGCATATAACACACAAGTGTGTATCATCTTGTGTACATTGATCAATCGGAAGTGGTGCCAATTGGGATTGTTCACCAGCCAATATATTAGCAAATATCGCCGTGGGCGCTTAGAAGACCGGGGCACTTATTACCTTGAATATGGTAAGTAAATTTCCGGTTAGTAGACACCTTAGGTTCATTCACATAACAAGATTTGACTGTATTTGAAAAGACATCTCATTATTCACTCAAGGTTAATGCTTCATAGACCAAGACTGAGTAATTAAAACGGATAACTGGTTGGACGATAATAAGGACACTATTGCCATTCCTACTCAGTTGACCTTGAGACTTCGGTCAACATGTGAAACATTTTACGATGGATAGAAGATTGATGTTAGTGAATGCTGTTTATCAATGCAGTCAGCAATATAAAAGCAATCTGTAGATAATCAAGTCTTGACCAGACATATAAGAGGTAAATAGCATGAGACATACCAATGGTTAATAGAATGAGCAACAGTCTCTTCAGCAGGGTCGCGATGACATAGTGACACAGAATGTATGTGCTGTATGTCACTGTTCCAGCTTCCCATACAGCTGCCTACTCATGAACCTGTGGCTAGTAATATTTAATATGGGCAAGTCATAATACCTGTCTATTTGTTATCATATTTCCCAGTTGATTTACATAATAGATTTACTGATTACTTTGTGAACATATCTGAAAAGAAATTCTCATTTTCAAAGTCATTGCATGTTTGGTGTTCATCATGACTGGCTCGTGATACTCCTCAACATTGGAAAGGGCTACTTGACTATATCATACTGTTATGTAACTAGAGGGCAGCAGCTGGTGGTCTTGAATAATGTACTTACTTTAACCTTAAATAAAGCTGACCATGCTCAAGTTGCCTGGCAACATGGGATACTACTTGTATGACATCATCGCTAAGCAACCAATCACACATTCAGGTACCACATATCCCTACCAAATGTTGAGTAATATGCTATTGAGGTACTTCTCGTTCCTCTGGAAAAACACATATTTTAGTCACATCCCACACTGACCTGTACATTCGGATTTCCTCCAGCACCTTCTGATTGGAAAGATGTTGTGCTCCATGTGCATTGGAGGCTCGATTATTGAAGGCTTGCCATGCATTCCACCGCTGCTGTCGGTTATCACAGTGTTCAAGAAATGGGTAGTACACTTCAGGGTTGAGAGTCACCTTCCACGGCCCACTAGACGGTCGAGTCCTGCAACAGAACCCATCCACAGCCATCATTTGATGTAGGTCAGGTGAAATGAGGTTTAACGGCACATTCAAGATTATTTCCCTTATGTATGACACGTGTGTGTGTGTGTGTGCTTATACTATTTCGTACTGTGTGTTCGTGTGTGTGTGTGTGTGTCTAGTCTGTGTGTGTGTGGCTGCTTGTACTAGTCCAGACTAATGCTAATTTTATAGTGCTAGCCCAATGAGATACCATGCCTCTGTTTAACATGAATACCCCACTGAGACACAGTGAGGTATGACGATGTCTGGGAACGAACCCCGAACCTTCTGCACTCCGGGCGGACGCTCTACCACTAGACCACGGAGGCGATCTCAGTTGTTGTAACAGCACAAGGACATTACCACTGCGTTACTAAAATACATCTCGTCATCCTCACATAAACCACTGGGGTACATGTTATTGTGTTTAGTTTGTTGTTTAACACCACACTCAGCACTATTCAGGCTAAATGATGACGACCTGTAAATAATGGAATCTGGACCAGACAATCCAGTGACTGATATATTGAGGAATGATCCACACCGTCCAGGTACGTTGACAAGCAATCAACAAAGTCACGGAGCCTGACCAGCCAATCCATAAAGCCCATTACAACCAACATAGGTTGCTGGAGTCCTCTTCTGACCAGAACTACGAACGGACTACACATCATTAAGACCTTTGACAAGGCAGATGATAGGTGACAAAGAACAAAATGAAAATGATGGTATTTGTCTTTACCTTGTAATTTGTAAAGGAAACATTCCCTTGTTAACTGTAGTGCAGGATACAGGAATCACCATAATCATCATAAAAGGATGTAAATATTGTGAAATTATTTTTTGGGAAATTTCCACGGGGAGTAAAAAAATTGTCTTAAGGTGTTGAGTCCAACTTTCAGATATAATGTTTCTTAAAAAGATATATAATAATATAAGATTTATTTTCACATGAATCAAAGTTTTAACATTTTGAAAATGAAAATTGCTGAAAAGGTTGTTCTTATATATTATGAATGCTTCATTCACCTTACCTATCTCTGACTCCTGCCATGACAAGATCAATTATAAAGATAAACATCTTTCTCGGTTGTAGCCAAGTATAAAAGTTTCAAATGCAGAGTGAACAGATGGATAGATGGACAGACAGATGCATGGCGAGACAAATGACAGCTCACATCGTTGATGTCAAGGTGAGTTTAAAATTTCACCTCAGTTCCAGAATTATAAGTCTTTAAATACACAATTTTCATCAAAACAAAATTTAGGCTTGACCAGACAAGCAAGTGAGTGATGGCATGAGCTACAACCTATTCTGCCAGGTTGACTTGACACACAAGCCAGGTCACGCATTGTAACTAACTACCTGGTAGGCATTTAGCTGGCACTCTGGTTCTGGTGGGTATTCAAGTGAATGAGTCAACTATAACAATTACCAATCTTGTGTCTGCATTATTTGAGCTTCCATTCCTCACTATCATGTATCACCAGACACTTTAGCAACTATTCATTTATTATAGGAGGGGTGTCGGTGGTGGGGAGACACTGGCCTGTATCATATTTTGTCATTCATGACACCCGTGAAGGTCAAGGGTAGAATAGGTCTTCAGCAACCCATGCTTGCCTTAAAAGGTGACTATGCTTGTCTTAAGAGGCATGGGGATCGGCTGGTCAGGCTCGCTGAAGCATGTCATCGCATCCCAATTGTGTGGATTGATGTTCATGATGACAATCACTGGATAGTCTGGTCCTGACTTGATTATTTACAGACCGCTTTCATATAACTGGAATTTTGCTGAACGAGGCGTTAAACAACAAACAAACAAACAAATGCCATCCATGAACATTCCAAGTAACCAAGGCAGCACATATTAACTTTACAATGTACAGATTCCACATACTTGTCTTCCGCCATTGTTGTGAGCAAAGACCGTGGCATGCTCTCCACTATTCCAAAGTTGTCAATGCGATGACTGAATAGCCCTGCAGTCAGTTCCACCTTTTTACTGAAAAAAAAGAAAATCCCAATGATTCAGGATTCACAAGCTGAAGTTTGACAACCAAAATTATCTGTAGAAAGTCAGATGGGGCTGTTTGACTGCAAAAGGGTTAAAGAAAATACTGACAAAAACTTTATTAACATTTATCCAGTTGAAGGGTACAAGGTTGAAAGGATCTGATCCCCAGTTGCTATTCTGCACCTGATTTCCCACCTGACTTGATGTAACTGGATATGCTGAGTGCAGCTGAAAGGTAACACAAACACTACTGTTTCCACCAAGCCTTAAAGCTTCACCTAAACCACCATACTTGTGCCTTAGACCATCTTGAGTACTTCATAGGTTTGTATGTACTACTTTCCTACATCACATGTGATCCTTAGGTTTGACTGACTGCCCCTATTGATAACCAACGAATCAAACCATGGCTGGTTCCAGCCGATTTACAGCGATCCACAGTATATGACATGCATTTTTCAATGGAAATTTGTATTGGACAGTATATTTTACCAGTTAAATCCGGTATACACTGGAGAATGGAAAATACTGCATTAAACTTCCATGAATGCCAAATGTCTTCATCTAAATTGGCAACTAAAAAAGAAACACACTTCACTACTCCACTGCACAGCGGTTGTATGCAATCATGGGTGATGAGGTGTGTACACACCCAGGAAGTAACGACACTGACTTCACAATGACACTAATCCCATCTCAAGGCATCTTCCTGGGGCAAGTAAGTTAACTGTCTAAGAAAGTCCAGTTTCCACCCTTGCCGAACTAGGCTGGTATTATGGAGTTACATTTTGGCTGGACTAACGAGTCTATGCATAGTCCAATCAAAATCGCGCACTGAAATCGAAATCCGGTTCGTAACGTGTCATGCACATTTCGGTCGACTGCAGGATTTGCAAAGCATGTGCACCGCTAACTCGTTGTCAACAGATATTTTCTAAATCTTTTCATGCTTTTAATCAAGGTGCTCACGTGATTTGATGCATTTCGCGATGTAAGACTCTTTTTATCACAATATAGATCTTGATTATCAATCAGATCATCTTGACTGGGCGCCACCGCCCTAGTTCGGCAAGGATGGAAACTGGACTTTCAAAGTCAGTTAACTCCCTTGCCTCGGGAAGATGATCTCAAGGTAGCAGGTGCCCTGTGCTGAACCCTGGACTGACCTGAAGACCAGCCTCTCTCTGTTGATGCCCTGTAGGGCTGTGATATACTTCCACTTGTCTTTCCCCTGGATGCCCACCCCACGGGCATGTGACTCATGCAGGTAAAGATCCACCAGGCGGCGCTGCGTCTCTGTCAGGTTCACATCTTGGCCAACTTCCTGCACCAACACAATCGTCATTAAAACATGAAAACAAAACATTTTTAGTTTTAGAAAATAAGTATTTAGCCTCAGAGGTGAGGTGAAATGGGGTTCCAAGACTACTGGGTATTGCACTTATATACCGACGTGCATGCACATGTGTGTATATATGTGTGTGTGCGTGGCTGCTCGCACTAGTCCTGACTGATTGATGCCAGTTATATAGTGCTAGCCCACTGAGATACCATGCCACAGTTTAACATGAATACCCCACTCAGACACAGTATAATGACACCGAGCCAACCAGTCCTTGTTTTATCCCCTTAATACTGGGTGCCAGGGAGGGTAACAAGTACAACGGTACCATATTTAAACGCCTGTTGGTATGACGCGGCTGGGGATCAAAGCCAACCTTCCGCTCTCCAGATGCTCTATCCGCTAGACCACAGGGGGGGGTCATTTAGCTTTGGAACTAACACTAGAGCTCAGAATCACAACATCTACTTTTCTCTTCATTTATTTAAATATTCACAAAGTTTCACCTACCTTCACGGCATAGTACAGGTCTGCATTTTGGTGTCGGTCGTGGTTACAGTAATTAACCTGTCGCGTCACCTGAAGCATTGAAGCATACCTGGGATAGAGATGCAATTTATGCAGGGCGCACTGAAAGATGCTTAGGTGTGCTTTATGGAGTTAAAGTGTGCAAACAAGAATAACAACTTTGTTTCATTATGTAACTTGGTGAATGGCATTTCACCAAGGCTAGATAATAGGCAGTTGTCGATTTGATACTTCACTCCTTCATTTTCAGTGAGATCAACAATACATGTACCCTTATTCATTTCTGAAAATCGTGAAATTAATGCATCTCCAAAAGAATGTGACCGCTGGCCCCTAGCCAAAAATGCGACTCAATATGAATGCGACAATCCCCTCCATTCAAGCATAATGTCCTCTGTCAGGTTTACAGGAGAATCCTCACCTTAATCCAACCTAATATTTATACAATCACACATCAAATAGCACCGCTTATTAGCGCTGAGTAGAGTACTTCCGCTAAAACAATACAGGCGCCCTAACTCGTGTTGGCCTTTGACGCAGTAGCAGAGAGCAAAGACACTGTCTTGCGTGGGTGGCATCTGTCTGGACTTGCAGGAGATCAGTGATGACATAAGTGAGTAGAACTCTTGTCTTGACACCAGTAGTGACAATTCACAGGATGTAATTAGTGTTTGAATGACATTGTTTATATACTTGATGTGATGTGGAATACATAGTTGTTTATTTTCAGTGTATGTCTAAGATGGTATTTCTGCTATCCAAAATGTCTTATTGTTGATATAAATACGATGTTTAATATTGCGACCAAAGACCATTCGCATTTTTCGCATATAATTCACGCTCGCGTTAATTTCAAGATTTACATACCCAATATTTGGTGAATTATACTGTGCATTAAACAGTCATGTTAATCATTTTCCATGTGTTGTCACATTGTATGTTGTTGTTTCACAGTAATCATGGTCATTAGGTAGTGTTCTTAAAAGCTGTTATTTCTGAGTGTGCCCCTCCGGAAGTAGGAACTTATTTTAACTGCGCCATTATGACTTTAACCGTGTCCTCAGAACTACAATAAGAGGAATTTTGAAGCCTGCATTCATACATTCTGAGGACAAAATATCCGAATGCAAAAGTGAGTATGTAATGTGCAATTATAGCAGATGTGTGTGATTTTTCTTTTAAATGTCCTTCCACTCTCAACTGCAAATCACTACATTGTTTATTCCAAAACAAAACGTCCAAGTTCTGAGTGAGTTATGGTTACGCCGCTTTCAGCAATATTCCAGCAAAATATTGATAGGGGACACAAGATATGGGCTTTACACATTGTATAAATGTGGGGTATAGAACCCAGGTCCTGGTGTGATGAGCGAACACTTTAACCACCAGGCTACCCCAGTTATAGCTTGATGATGATGATGGGATTATCTCCCTTGACGACTACTTACCCTTTTGTAGGCATCATTGTAACCTTTGTCCTTCTGAACCCTGCACAGAATTCGGAATGTTCTGTAGGCATAGTTCAGTGGAGCTTCTAATTGCTCCACTTGGTTGAACACTCCATCAAAGGTCTTCTCAACCTTAGGATCTGTAATGGAAAATTGACAATATTGTAATAACTTGTATGCTTGGTAGTATATGCCATGATATCTGATGGTAAGAAATTGTGACATCACTTATACAAAACTTCTATATACTGAGACACTTTGAAAACTCATATAGTAGATTTCATTCTGCAATATTTGGCGAAATGGACACAAAAATCAAATTAAGTTGTTCTGGGTACTCACGCATGAGGTAATCAAACACATACTGGTTCAAATCTCATTCCATGTCTATGCTGACTTCAAATTAAAGTTTATGCATTTTGATTGTGTTTCAGCACAGTACACTGAACTAAATTTGTCATGTGAGTGAGCAATAACACATATGAGAGAACATTAAGCCATCTGTGACGTCTTCAACAATCGATGATGTCCATCTTTAATTATTTGCGACCATCATTATTGCTATGATGACACATTTCTAAGAGCTGCATCACAAACAATTAGTGTGAATAAGAAAATCAGCATGAGGCAAATATTACAATGCTCAGTGAGAATTACTAAAATTATCTGAACTGATATCTTTGCTCCCGTGGGTAGTATTTAGAAATTATGACACTCCTTGGATAACTACCTTGCAAGTTTTCAATGTGAAGTGACAAATTTGTGTCATGGTCTATGGACAACTTGGAGCACCCTGTAATACAGCGATTTGGATTGATAGCAGAGAACTTTGGCAGGTCTGTGAGTCTCAGCAGTGGGTTGGTTTCTGGTGTGTCTGGTGGCACCTCCGGCAACCTGAGTTAGTGTTACACAAAGTACTATCAGCATCAAAACAATTCAAAACATTCTTCAAGGCAGAACTTCCATCAATGAAACTTTCACTATTCATATATTAACTGCAAAATATTGCCACAACAATATATAAAGAAACAACGCATACAGCTTAACAAAGTAAATAAAACCAAGGCATGTGAGAGAATTGTCATAAACTTGTCCATAATTTTTTTTATTAGAAACATTATTATAAACCTACAACATATTTTATTCACATTTGGAACATAATTTCATTGCTTACTGGTTGTGCTGGTATTGATACACAAAGTTGTTGTTTAAACAAAATATTGGACACAAAGTCTTATCAGTGCATAAGTTGAATTCTCCTTATGCCCAAAACAACACTGTTTAAAAACAATCCCTACTTGAATAAATGTTTCAAGATCTCAATTAAAACACAGACCTGACCATTGTCATGGTCATGATATGCATGTAAACATGACCATGATATGACATATGTGATATGTCTGCACGATTGAATATTATCTGAAAGAAACTAGACTCAATGGTCTGGTGAATATATCCAATGAAGATCTAGACACTAATTAGTGTACTGTGTGATAATGGGATAATTGTCTCACGATAATATTGAGCAATGTTTGATTGTTAGTTGCATACACTTGATAAACTCTGATTCATTAAATGAAGTGTTGTTTTCATTACAACTATGACTGGAAATTTACCCCAGTTCTGTAACGCCTCTTTAATGTTTGTGTTTATCTTAACTGTATAATTATAATGTCTACTTATTTTCCAGCATCAGAATATCTAGTTGAAAAAGTTTTGACTTGCTTGCATGAATACATAATGTTGTCATGTGGCAGGCAGGATAAGATAGTGTATATATAATCATTGATTTTGTTGTAGTTACTTTAATGATTAAGTAAATATTGATTTACACAGTTGTATACAAACTCAGGCCTGTGAAGGGTAGAATAAGCTGTCAGCTCACTGCACAGGGTACCATGACACATGAACAGGCCAGGTCACACTTTGTAACAGTCTAATCCTCATCAGTTGCCTCTCACAAACTTGGCATCCTGAGGACGCATTCTGACCCGTTTTCTGACTCATGAGAAAGGAAACAGTTATTGCGTGAAAACTGTTTTGGAACTTTGGGTCTGAGCAAACATATGAAAATTATTTATTCAACCTAACATAACTGTTAACATAGAACTTTACGGATAATGTATTAATGTAGAACTAGAAGCAGAGACCATAAAATATGTTCCTGGACTCTGATAGAAATAACTCATTCAAAAGATGAGATTAAAACAATAACACTTTTTGTAGAAAAGAGAAAACCACTCACTCCCTGTTTTGTATGCATGAAAACCAACGACAATCATTTATTTTTTTGCAACACGAAAACGTTTTCGTAATAAACCAAGATCTGCAGCTCAATCTACCGTTTTATGTATGATAATCCGTGTATTGAAATCTCCCTAAATGATTTAACTGAAAAGAGACATTTTTATTAAGTAGTGCATTTACTATAACACTCACGTTACATAATATTGCCCACTCGCATATTTAACGTGTGTTTTAATTAAACGGCATGGCATGCGAAGCTTCCATGCACGACCTCGAACCATGGAGGTCGCCATCTTGAGTACATAAGAGTTATCTGCCCTTGGAAGCAGACAGGTGCGTGTTTTATCCGACTTACAAACTGCACGACAGCGGTGCTCTATGGAATATAGACAAGGGGAATAACTGCAGTAGTGTCCGTATATACCTTTTATTACATATCTTCAAATTTACGCAGATGCGCTTTGCTGGTTAACATCAATTCATAAAAGTCTTGTCGCTTACGTTTTGAATATTTATAAGGACTTTTAAAGGCAATACTTTTCATATTTCTTGCAGCAGTGGCTTCAAAATAACCGGAAGTTTTGACATGTGACGTCATGGGTGGGGTGAACACCAAAATGGCGGAGTTGGTCATGTCATGTTGTATGAGTGACCACGAGAAATCACAACGAATACGAAGTCATGAGATCGACAAAAAATTAATGAAGGATCGGTTGACATTCAGGAGAACAGTGAGGCTTTTGTTACTCGGTGCCGGAGAGAGTGGAAAGAGTACTTTCCTAAAGCAGATGAGGATTATCCACGGGATGGATTTCGACGACGAAGCGCTCCGGGAATACCAGACTGTGATATACAACAACATTGTAAAGGGCATGCGTGTTTTGATCGATGCCAGAGACAAACTAGGCATTCCTTTTGGAAATGAGGAAAGTGTTAAACATGCAAATTTTGTTTTCAGTTATGATGGAGTTAAAAAATTAGAAGAGAGAACATTTCTCCAGTATGTGGAACCAATGAGAATATTATGGCAAGACAGCGGGATAAAAGGGGCGTTCGACAGACGGAGAGAATTTCAACTTGTAAGTATTAATTAAAGTTTATGGATTTTTTTTAAGGTTTGAAATTCTAAATCCTTTTCAAATGCATAGAAGTATGGATTAATACCAAACTATGGATGTGACAACAGAATTGAGGATGGGAAAGTGTGAATATAGCTGGGGGTCATCAAACCATAACGGCTTGATGTTCATGCTATCATCCACTGGTTTGCTTGGTCCAGACATGGATATCTACAGGTCACAAGGGCAGCTATGGTATAATCTTTGTGTAGATCAGTATAGTATGGAGATTTCAGTCATTTGAGGGATTATGGGTCAGATGGGTAATATCTTAGGTGACAAAACAGCTAAAATGAGGATGAGGTGGCTGTCGTGACAGTGAATTGGCTGATAGTGGGTGATTGTACCCCAACATCTTGGATTGTTGCTCATGCTATCAACCACTGCTTTCTTTCCACTAGTCCATTTACTAGTCCAGAGTAAAGTATTAAATATGTTTAACTACTCATTTGTTTTTGTCTGACATAAATTACACTTGTGGTACAGATGCATTCCAGAATCTAATAATCAAGAGTTTGAATCCGACATTCACCCTGATTTCTTGGTTTGTCAGAACCAGGAACTGAACAGATTCAAAAACCTGCATCATAAATGCGTAAAAATTGAAAATGTCTCCCCAGATGGAGTGCAGAAAATGTGTATGTATATGTTTAGGAATGAATAACAACAAACAGTGTCAAATGCCAAAGGAAATCCTTTCTTAGTAATTGATTAATAGGTTGGAAGATGTTGTGCGAGTAATCTCTTCCAATGGACTAATTACAGGTACAGCATGGGGTTTGGCGGTATTGAGAGAACAGTTATTCTTTTATTATTGACAATTTCATAACAGTTGACATCATGCTTGCATAAACAGTGCCATTATATTGTTTTGTTTTATTTCTTTCAACTTCAGACTGTTTCTACTGAGTGAAAATAATATGCATGAAGTGTGTACCAACTGGCAGGGTCATTAGTTCTTTTACTTACCATGCTTACTGTGAGTTACTAGTGGTCATGGATGTTTTTTGTGTATAATAGAATATTGGGAACCTTGAATCGCTGCAGTACAAAAGGTGTGGACTTATTGTGTACAGCTTGTTCAGTATGTGGTCAAACCATGCCAACTATTTTTCATACATTGAAAGATCCGGGGATGAATAGGTCTTCAGCTACCCATGCTTGCTGAAAGAGGCGACTATGCTTGTTGAAAGAGTTAACTAGCTGGATCTGGTGGCCAGGCTCACTGACTTGGTTGATGCATGTCATCGTATCCCAATTGTGTGGATTGATGTTCATGATGTCAATCTCTGGATTGTCTGGTCCAGACTCAAATATTTACAACCAGCCGCCTATAGCTGGAATATTACTGGGTACAGCATTAAACAATAAACAAAAAAAACCAACCAAACAAACAAATCATTCATTAAAAAATGTGATTAACATAAAACTCTTTGACCTGAAGAATCCATTAATAGAAACATTCTTGTGCTTGTGTCAAACCATTTGTAATGTTAAGACAACACTAAGTACACTAACAATGTATACAAATCCTCATTAGATGTTATTTTCGCTGTGATCAGCTGATGCAGCTATAGAAACCTGCTTGTGTGTGGTGACATTAGTAATGTGTACATTTGCCTTGAAACTAATTTGTTGAAAATGTAGGTAGACCTTTCACGCAAATTTGCTGACACTGAATACATGAGCAATTAGGTTTGTTTAAAATGTCTTGGCTCCTGAAATTGATCAATAAATTCTGTCCACACGTTAAGCTGCTTCAGCAGTGGCTTGAATATGTGTCGATTTGGCTGAAATGTTGTATTTTAACCTCCTTTAAGTATTTCCATTTTTTACCTTTGCAAGTGATATGTAAGCATAGTTAGCGCTTGAAGAGTCCTTTTTTTATAATTCATCATGATTTCATCATGATTATGTAGTTGTGTAGAAGTAAGATAACCTTGTTTCAGTATTGGTCAGGGTGTGCAACATACATTATACGTGTTCTAAATACTCCAGAATTTGTTGGAATTGGCATTTGTCATCTCATCTGCATGGACATTTGGTGAAAGCCTGATATATTTGCCAGTTCTTATGACTCGGTAATACATGTTAGTGGCCCACTCTGAGTGGCGGACCCAGTGTAACCACTCACTGTACCAGCAGGAAACAAAATATGTATTGTTGTGATGCGTTATGCATCTTAAAGAAACTGTTTCCTTGTTTGAATTGAAAATGTACATGTTTTTAGTTTAAATAGTTTCCATCATTCTAACATCCAGTAGGACCCGCAGTGGATATTTTTTGTGTCGGTTTATCATGTTTTTGATTTGTATGTGCATAGGACCTATCTGTGTCCGCTAAAATTATGCATGCCTTAATTGCATGAATATGTCCCTGAAGTAGAATTAAAGAGTATGTGCAGATGTTGAAACGTGTAATATCTGGTCAAATAGAAGCCTATAGTTTAAGATTTAAGTACTTTGAATAAGCACATGTTGTCACACTGGCCTTATCACTGTAACAGTGTTTATAATGTTTATGATACCAACTCTATTATCTACTCTGAACATTGTTGGGGTAGATAACTAAGTAGATCTGAATGGTATGTGAAGCATTTATTAATGTCACACATGGAATTCATGTATCTGTTGTATCAAGCTGAGCTTGTTCCAATAATCTAACGATGTGGATAATTTGCTGCAGTGGCAGCCATTGATATGCGTGTCCAGTAGCTTGATGTCCGTGTTGTTGATATGCATGAGGTGATGTACAGCCATGGCTGCTGTAGGAGTCCTCTCAGAGTTGCTATGAAGTTATTACGAAGTGATGTGAGGCTATTTACCTTCCATTTGTCAGCATTTCATAGTGCCAGCAGCGGGTCATTGACCCATGAAAAAGCCCATGTACTTCCTTTTCTGAACAAATAGGTACATAAGCCCATCAACAGGGGTGAGAATCTTCCGCGAACTTAAAATCTGAACCTCTCATAACTCTCCCCCCCCCCCCCCCCCCCAAACTATAGACCATGCTCCTTGAAAAGAAGTATCAGGTGAAAAGGAAATATCCATTTTCATCCCTGCATCAATATCTTCCAGATGGAGAAATAAACCAAATGGCCATTGTTTTATGTTTGAAGTGACTCGTCAACACATGTACAATGATTTAATTTGGTTCCTGTTTTGCTCATGTATGGGTGCATAAGAAGTGTTTTAATTATGGGGGCTCTTGGGTCCCTGAGGTTTGCCCCTATAGTACTTGAATCTAGGACACCTAAATCTGTTTCTTTTCGCCTGTTTAGTATGAGGGCATGACAAGGACCCTTGACTTTCATGCGAAGATTTTAACAATGATAAGTGTTCAACTCAATTGGAATCTCTACTTCTCAATTCTGTGCCTCGGCAATCCTACAGCTCTAGCTAGGCAGATATTTTGTTATTGACACTGAAGTGTTTCTAGGACAACCTTATCTAATCAGCAGCCCCACACTTTATCAGTGTCAACCTGTGTGGAACAGTCACAGACGTTGGCTGATGATATAGAGATGAAGATGGCTGGAAAACATGTCATACCTGACTACTCTGTAATCATGGTCATACTGATGATGGACTATGTGTAATGTCTAGTATTGGGAATCATGTCAACAATCATGATCTGTCTTTTCTCTGAAGCAGACAATCACCTAATGATCACTAACGACCATTTGATATTCTGAGGTGTGGGGCAGAGGGTTTTGTATGGGGACTTCATGTTTTTTCTGTTACAGCTTCAAGGCCATTGCAACTATTTTTTCTAGCTTTTTTGAGATATAGTTAATCTTTTCAAGCATATTCTGGCACAATGTATTTTTTCAATAACATCCCAGCCCTTCCTCCTCCTGAATATCAAATGGTTGGACTTCTTGCTTCATCCTGTTCATCACGTTGACTTGCTACTGCCCAATACAAATTATGGCAGATGAAACAAAGAATTCAAGTAGCATGAGTAGTGCACAAGTATTTTTATGATCTCTTTAGGTGAAACCTGATCAGTCTCTATGAATCCAGATTCATTGGCCTTCTACAGCCTAAGCCCACCAACTAGATGTACGCAGAATCTTTAAATTGAAAACCACTAGTTATGCTTATGAAATGTGGTTGATAATGTTTAGAATATATGGAGACAATTAACATGATACTGTATTAGCTGTAATAAGCACTCCCAGAAAAGTGACAAAGAGAAGCGCATATTTAAGTTCGTAAACACACACAGCGTAAATTGAGCAGTAGCGAACAAATTTAGTTGAAACAATGAAACGAAAACATTTTGATAATAGTTTCAATGCAATAATATTCCCCTTCCGCGCTGTAATATGCACAGAAAAATATGAACTTATGTACATTTTCAGTTTTTGTAGGGAGCAGTTATGAAGATTACTTACTGATTTGGTTTAGAAATTGGTCAGGGGTACTTATTGGAGCAGGCAGCAGTAGAAACTAACATTTTTAGTTCAGTAGTCCTTAGGCTTAGTCCTCACTATAATGATAACATATAGTAAAACCCTTGAAAATGGCAATTTTTACTTGTCCTTATGATACCTTAACCATTGGGGAGTGTTGCAAGGACTACAGGACAATTTCTAACGCTGGCAGGGTGCTAAATAACACAGCAAATACAATAGATGTTGTATACTCTCCCAACACTTTTAGTACCATTTACAGTAAACTATGTTTATATTAACTATCGGATATAACAAACTTATTTTTTAGTCCCAGTCACATGCTGTATATATGCTTATAATGAACTACAGTTATAACAAACTAAAATTAGTGGACTCTTTGAGTTTTTACAAAGGGACATTGCTTTCCCTCAATTTCAGTAAGATTTCTGTGAAAGCTACTCAGAAAAGGCGACATCATACGAAAGTGCACATTTAGAAAGGCAACCAATTGTTAGTTTCTTCAATCATTCTGTCAACTGTAGTTACTAGTAATCCATAAGTT